CCTGCATTGTTCCGCATATCTAAGACAAAGCCTTTCAGCTTGCTTTTGAGCTTCCCCTGTATGGAATGAATTGCTTTGACAACTTCAAGCTTTGTATTATTTCCAGAAAAATTGGTGATGCGAATATATCCTGTATCACCGCCTTCAATGCGCCATTTTACAGGTTTTACTTTAATAATATCTCGCTTTAATGTGATATCAAAAGGGGGTGTATCTTTACGGCGAATCGTTAAAGTTACCGGTGTTCCGACTTTTCCCCTTAAAAGGTCAACGATATCGTTGATGTCTTTTTCACCAATTGGTTTTTCATCAATCATAATGATAAAGTCTCCAGGGCGCAGGTCAGCTTTTTTTGCTGGAAAATCATCAATGGGGGAGACAACCAAAGGAAGACTGTCTTTCATGGTAATTTCAATGTCGATGCCTCCAAATCGACCAGAGACATTTTGTCTGAGCGCTTTCTACGTTCAACAGACAGGTATGTAGAATGGGGATCTAAGGAGTTTAGCAGTCCTTTTAAGGCCCCCTCTAATAATTCTTGAGGTGTGTTTTCTTCAATATAATCCTTTTGAATACGCTCAGCGATCAGTGCATACATCCGGCCAGCCTGCTCATGAGTTGTGATTTCCGCGTATGTCTTAGAGACAAGAGGGCAAATTAAGCTGAGGCAGAATATAAATGCCAAGTATTTTTGCATAAAAACAGTGGGCTCCCTAAAAATTCCCTAAAGAATAAGGTACCAGGTTATGCCCGTGTTTTGCAAATAACTATATTAGAGAGCGGCAATTCATTTCTTTGGGAATGGAGAGGTTGAGAAGATCGAGGATTGTTGGAGCAATATCACACAAAGTTCCCTGGGTTAGGACAATGGGTTGAGCTTTTTCAGAGACCAAAACACAGGGAACGGGGTTGCAAGTATGGGCTGTATGCGGTTTGCCTGTGTCGAGGTCGAGCATTTTCTCTAAGTTTCCATGGTCTGCGGTGATCAGCATCTGGCCGTGGTTTTCTAAAAGGGACTGTGTCACGCGTTTAAGGCATTGGTCAATGGTTTCTGCCGCTTTGATGGTGGCAGCCAAATCCCCTGTATGTCCAACCATATCTGGGTTGGCATAATTAACGACAATCAAATCAAACTGATGTGATTTGATGGCATTAATCAGTGCTTCTGTGAGCTTGATCGCAGACATTTCTGGCTTTTCGTCATAGGTTTTAACGTTTGGCGATTGGATTAAAAGGCGTTCTTCCCCTAGAAAGGGTTTTTCTCGTCCCCCGTTAAGGAAGAAGGTGACGTGAGCATATTTTTCTGTTTCTGCAAGACGGAGCTGTGTTTTCCCTGCATCAGAAACGACCTGTCCGAGAGTATTGTTTAAAGAAATTGGAGGGAAAAGTGCAGGGCACAAAGCTTTCAAAGCTGCGGAATACTCCACCATTCCTGCGGCTCTTTCTGGGGGAAGGGGTGTAAAAGAAGCTCCACGGTCAAAGTCGTTGAAGTCGGGATCCAAGAGGGACGTTAAGATTTCTCGCGCTCGATCGGCTCTAAAATTGGCCATTAAAAGTCCATCTTTTTTAAGATCTAAACCGGAATAGCCTTCTACACACGTGGGCATAACAAATTCGTCTGTGACTTTTTGAGCATAAGACATTTCAAGCGCTTGAGAGGCTGTTTCAGTATGAAGGCCCTGGGCATAGACAATTGCGTTAAACGCTTT